CCATCTGGTCCTGGGCGTTTACGTAGTTTAGACTTTTAATAACATCTAAGGTTTGGGCTGGGAAAGGGAAGTAGCTCAAGTGCGCTAATTGGCACTCTGGGGAGTTTTGGGAAAGAAAGGGAAAGTTAGAAGGGTATCAGCTTGTGCGGGGTTAAAAGGTGTGGAAGAAGAATAAAGTGTGACAAGTGTTTATGGAAAGTCTGTAGAATGTGTTCGGGGTTACTAGTGAGGTTGCCAGAAGAGGTGCGTATCCGGGATAGGTCTAGTGGTGGGTCAAGCCTGCGAAGTGAGAGGGCCAGGAATGTATTGGGTTTATTTGGCCCTAGTAAATATTTGTGCCTAGATCTACGGAGTGAGAGTTCCGCTTGATCTGTGAGAAAGAGATCTAGAGCCAATCTAGATCGCTCTAGGGCCTCAGGTTGGTAGGCGTAGGAGCCGCTGGAAGGGTTGATGGTAACGATCATATGTTTGCTCCAGTGAGAGACGTTGTGTCTTTTGGTTTTATTTAAGAAAGGGTGCTTTGCTAATGCAAAACCCCCTCATATCGGTTTATGCGCTTCCCATAACAGGTGAGGGGAAATTTAACAGGCAATTGGTTAAGAGGGAAAAAAAGTCTTTAAGGGCTGCTTCGATTTCTAGACAGTGAGCTGGATTTGCAAGCAGGTTATTGCTAATGATCCAAGAGGATTCAGCGGGGATGGGGCTAACGAGGCCATAGTCGTGAATACGGCGCAATGGTCAGACCAAGGGATTGGAATTATTTCAGAATCAGGAGCCGCGGGAAGAGGCGTGGTAATGAAAATAATGATCTATCCTGGAGAATGGACCGGTTGGGGGTTGGAGCATAGAAGGTGTATTGGCGTTTACTCAGGGTTGAGTTCCCGCCATTTATCTTCAAAGAATAACGTTGGAAGATAAGGCTTGGAAGGTTTGTTTAGAGGCAGGGACAAGGGGATGGTTGAGGAGATTAGTTCGAGAAAGGATATATTACACTGTTTTAGAGTCTCCGTTAACAATTAGAGTTCCGCGTTTATTGGTGGTCTATAACCGAGAGTATGTGGGAAAGGAATGGTAAGGGTTTTGGTTTGGGGGCATAGTATGCAACAATGGTAACATCTACGTTCAAGGATTTGCCCTAACTAACAGGAGGTAAACAACCCTCCAGGTCTTTGAATTTCGTGCCTAGCGTGAAAGGTGGCTTTGCAATGGAAGGCAATCAGTACCCCCCTGCGTTGGTGGTGGCAGAGGCTGTATAGACCTGAGGATATCGAGGCCAAAAAACTTAGGGTGGAGTTTGGGAGTGAAGTGTGTTTCCTGTAGACAACCTACGTAGCTTTAATGGTAGCAAAGGTTCGGTAAAGCCTTATTACGTTTCTGTGGAACAATAATACCCTGTACATTCAGGTAAGAAGATTAACGAGCCCATGCGAAAGTGCATAGTGGTTTGGAGAGCATTTGGCACTACTGCCGCGGGATGGAGCCTACGATTTACTGTGGGGGATGGGAACTTTGCGGAGTTATGTTGCCCAAAGTCTTGATCATGTGGGGGAGGAGGAGGGTACGGTATGGAGAGAGGTAACATGAAGAGGGGTGTAGGAGGCCATTTGAGGCCTAAAAAGTTGGGGTTCCTTCAGGACACCCTGATCAGGGGTGGTCTAGAGGGAGAAAAAGTAGCCCAAGTGTTTATTAAATTAACTAAATAACACAGGGGTACCAAACAAGGGGTGGAGGTGCAGTACGCCGACCGGTGGATGACAGCAATGTGATTAAAAATTGGTGGCGAGGTCCCGGTAGAAAAAACAGGTGTATATATACAAAATAAAAAATAAAAAATCTGAAGAAAAATCAGGGTGTCCCCAGAATCAGATGGCACTAGCAGTAACTAGTGAGACATCTTGGGTGTAGGGTGTGGCATTGCCATGCCACCAAGCCTAGCTCCCAAATATAAGCTAAAATGGAGCCCAGGATGGGGGGGTGCAGAACAATCCCCAGGTTGCGGGGCAAGCAAATTTAACAGGTAAGGGGAAAGGAAATCAATTGTGTTAACCGCAGATAGTCAAAAAAGAACACCGTTTGGTGTGTGTGGCGCAAAAAAAGGAAAAAAAATAGATAAGCGTTCCAGTCCATGGTAATCATTGTGAAGATAGGCCCAGAGACGAAAGACGACCTCTTTTGTGGAAGGCCTTGAGTGACCTTCAGTTGTACGTGCGGGGAAGGACTTCCGCGGCGAGCAGGATGTGGACCTCCGCATGGCCTTTCTGGAATGCGTCGCTGGGGGATGTAGTTGTAGGAACTGCCAAGGTGTCTACAAAGGTCTCTGGAGTCTTGCAGGTGTAATCTCGGTCTGGTATCGGTCGGAATCGCACTGCAAAGGGGAAGCTTCACCTATAAGGTATAGCGTGTTGTTGAGTACTTGTAGGTGAGGTTTCATAGCCCTGCGCTTGAGATAGTTGTGGGGCATATGTCTTGTAATAATTGGTAGGTATGACCCTGAACTGAAGAGATTCCTGCGTTACTGCAGCTTGTAGGAGTTGCTCCTTGGTACTTAAAAATTGGAGCTTGGCTATAATGTCACGTGGGCAGCAAACTGTGCGTGTGATTGCTAACGCCCAGTGAACTCTATCCAATTCTAGATCTTTCGATTGGGATAGCTGGGGCAGCTCTTGGAACAGAGACTGTTACTAATTGATTGGACATCGACATCGTTTTCCGGAAGGACCATGGAAATACGTAGGTATGAGCACCATGCTCGGTTTTCAAAGTCTCCATTCGTTTAATAATGTTTGCGTCTTTTTCATCACGCAGGAGATCAACGTCAACCGTATGTGTCTGAAGCGAGTGTCAAGACCGGTCTACTCTCTGTTCTAGAGTGCGTTGTCCTATTCACCGGATTTCCCTAGATGTAGCGTGGCAGTGATGCGGTCCAAGTTTGCTTCAAAGCTTTTGTGTAGCATTTTTTCAAACCATGACAACTTAGGTCAGGGGGTGTAAGTCAGCGTCAGGGCTTTCCAATGACATCTGTACCTCAGTGTCAGACTCACCACTCAGATGTGCAAGTGATGGCTGGCTGTGGATCCTGAAGGGCTGCATAATGCCTCTGCCGCCTGCTGCATCCACGAGCTGGGGTGGCCATCTTTGTGGAGGCCTTTGCCAGGCCTCTTTGATTGTTTTGTTTGAAGGGGGACCTGGTGCTGGGTCCCCCTTAACCGCCATTTTGCTGCTTGTCGGGGGCTGTTATGTTGAACTCAGCCCCCCTGCTCTCTCACCTCAGCCTCGGTGCTGTGTATACAGCGGTGGGCAGGCCTGGTAAATGCTCACAATGGGGACACAGAGTCCCCCTGTTGGATTTCTCTTCTCCGACCTGCGCGGAGGATCCGCCGTAGACCCAGGGTGGATTCAGACCCTGGGAGGTTTGCTTTTGGGGATCTGATCCCCCCATGCTGTATTGCGCTGCTCCTCGGCACTGTCACCGTGACGGGAGAACGGAGTCCTCATCGGACAGTCCGTCCCGCCGCCGCGCATGCGCACTCTCACTCTCGCCCGCACCGGGCATCCTTAGTGTGGAACAACACCGGATTGACATCATGTGGCTTCACAGTCGATGCCCACAGCTCTTTGTGAATGCCCCGTAATCTTCTCGGACCTGTCACTTGATCATTTTTCAGAGATCGCCTAAAAGAAGAGATCAGAAGGCGATTAGTCTGATAAATTGGGGAGTGGTGAGGGAGAGTTTACCATCGAGGATGGGAGAAGCTCTGGAGAAGTTCCCTGGAGACGATGCATTGGAGGAGGGAGACAAATGTAGCTATGATAGTAGGAGGTCTCTGCGAGGAGCGGAGAGTAAGGTATAGGTGATATTTTAGAGACAAGTATCGGTGAGGTAATTTGGGGCGGAGTTACTAAATGGCTTATATAATGTTATTGTTTAATGATTTGAATTTTTATCCGGTTGGACAATGGGAAGCCAGTGGAGGGATTGGCAGAGAGGGGTGGAGGACACTGAGTGAGGTCAGTGGAGGGATTGGCAGAGAGGGTGAGAGGACTGACTTGAGTGGGAGGTCGAAGTGGAGGGCATTATTGGCAGAGAGGTTGCAGATGGGACAGCAATGGTGAGTAATTAGATGCCAGTCTCGTCAGCAGCATTCATGATAGACTGAAGAGGGGGAGAAGCCTGACAATGTGGTCGGTCAACTGTAGGAGGGAGTTACGGAATAGTCCAAGGTCAAGATATAACATGGGAGTGAATATTTGCTAGAGTGGTTTTCCGAAGGTTAGGAACGGCCATATCTTGGAGATGTTTTGTGGAGGTGAAGTCTACAAGATTTGGACAGTGATTGGATTTGGGACTGAAAGGACAGATGGGAGTCTAGGATTACACCTAGTATGAGGGGAGGAAACTGATGATCCTGTTATTGATCTTGATGGAGAAGTCAGGGAAGGGGCACAGGCTGGGGGAATACTAAGAGCTCATTTTGGAAAGATTGAGTTTTGATGGGAAGTGGAGTGACATCCATGCCGATATGTCCGGCTTAGTAGGTTAGTAATGCGAGAGGAGACTGAAGGGGTGAGGTGAGGAGGAGACTGAAGGGGTGAGGATGAGGAGGAGACGAAGGAGTGAGGTGAGGGTAGAAAGATAGATTTGTGTTGTCATCAGCATAGAGATGGTACTTAAAGACCATGGGAGTTTATCAAGTGACCAAGGAGGTGGGTGTAGATGGAGAAGAGAAGGGGTCCAAGGACAGAACCTTGAAGGACCCCTACAGAAGAGAGGGAGTGGAGAGGAGGAGGAGAGTTATAGGTAACGGCTGAATGAGCGCGCTGCGATAGTTAGGAGGAGAACCAGGAGAGAGCAGAGTCTCTGGAGGCCAAGAGAGTGGAGTTTTTTTGAGGAGGAGGGGATGGTCAACTGTATCAAAAGCTGCAGAGAGGTCAAGTAGTAAGAGTACGGAGTAGTGGCCATTGGTTGGGATGAGTACGGAGTAGTGGCCATTGGTTGGGATGAGTACGGAGTAGTGGCCATTGGTTGGGATGAGTACGGAGTAGTGGCCATTGGTTGGGATGAGTACGGAGTAGTGGCCATTGGTTGGGATGAGTACGGAGTAGTGGCCATTGGTTGGTGGATGAGTACAGGGAGTAGTGGCCATTGGTTGGATGATGAGTACGGAGTAGTGGCCATTGGTTGGGATGAGTACAGGGAGTAGTGGCCATTGGTTGGGATGAGTAGAGTCAGTGGCTATTGGTTTTAGGGCATGTTACGTAGATCATTAGTGAGTTTAGTAGGGCAGAGTTCAGTGGAGTGGTAGTGAGGGAAAGCCAGGACTGTAAAGGGTCAAGAAGGTTGTTGTCGGTGAGTGGAGCTCAGGCGATTGTAGACTAAGAGTTCTAAGAGTTTTTAGAGGTAAATGGCAGCAGGGAGATGGGTCTTAAGTTGTTCAGGTTGGTGGGGTCCAGGGAGGGCTTTTTTAAGTATGGGAGTGATGTGCGCATGCTTTTTAGAGGGGAGGGTGAAAGGCACCAGTAGAGAGGGAGAGATTGAAGATGTGAGTGAGGGAGCATATAGGATGGAAGAAGAGGGTGACCGTAGTAGTTGTAGGGGACAGGATCCAGGGGGCAGGTAGTGAGACGGGCTTCTGAGAGAACCTTAGTGACCTCTTCGGGTAGTAGCAGTGGTCAAAAGAGGAAAGTGTTGAGGGAGGTTTAGTATAAGGTATGCTAAAGTGGGATGGATGTCTGTGCAGTGGAGATCGCCCTATAAAGAATTGCGTCAATCTTGTTTTTGAAATGATTTGCAATCTCGTGAGCTGTTGATGTGATGGTACCTGGGTGGAGTTGGAGAAAGTAGAGAGTTTAGAAGTAGAGCAGAGACGACAGGACTGAATGACAAGCTATTGATGAGGAGTGATCAAAGTAGGCTTGTCTGGCAGCATGGAGGGAGGAATTGATTCTGTCACAGAGGCGGTCATTGCAGAGTGGAAAGGACCGGGTTCAAGTTGTGAAGGTTTCTGGGGTAATTTTTGGTGCTTGGA